TATTCACGCTTCCTTCTACTCCTTTCATGGATGAAGATGCCAGGCATCTAATACTCTACCCTAAGCCTAATAGTCCATTTGGTATTATAGTAAAATCACATCTGTTTCAGAGAAAGAAAATGCTGTAAAATATGTAAGAAAATAACTGCTTTAATTACTTAATTACAAGCTCACTTGAGTCTCCTAACAGCCACAGAAATAGTGAAAAGAACTAATTAATGACAAGCGTAAATCAAAATAAGAACAAATCAAAGCATTCTGCTTGATTGTCTGCAGTAGCTAGAGCCAGATGACTTCAGTAAGCTATTTAAGAAAGGATATATCTAGTAGTGCATGACCTAAAATGATACATTTTTCTCTAGGGAACGGCCTCATTCTCAAAGTTTGGATCCAGACCTGAGTTCTCTCAAAGCTTAGGCTTTTATAAGGCTCCTTTTAAACACAAAGCCTAGTACTGATTGATCTTTTTATTTTATTAATTCATCAAGGGGACATTTTTCCTGTGGAAAATAATATCTTTGTAAAAATCCTTGGATGTTGTGAAAGAAAATAACTCTCAAAAGAATTCAAGCCTAGCCTGACTGATTTTTATTTTCCAAAGAGATATTTCCATTTTTAACATAAGAAAGGTGTTTTAAAGAGCACATCTGAACAGCAAGCTAACATCTTGCAGAAGCAAAAAAAAACTCCAGAAAAGTTTCCATAGGCACTAATCATTAAGATCCAGTTTTGAAAAGCCATAAGAATCCCTCTCTAAATGGCACAAATGGTAAAAATATTCGTCAAAACATTTTTAACATAGATATACAGTGCCAGCTAGCTTCTGTAGGCCAATAAGCAAGAAAAGGAAAATTCTGCAGCTCATCTGCATGTGCCCATAAGAAGAATTAAGCACTTTTTAAATGCAGCCAAAATTCAGCACCAACAGACTTGCTTAAGAGAAAGCAATCATTCTGCATGGGCTTGATTAGACACAGAGATACATTATTTTGTACTATAGATAAGTAAAATGCAGTTGATAATAGTGGAACTGCATTGATGCTTATCCATTTCCTTTCCCTCTCCCATATTCTGGAAGAACTGCGTAGTATTCTATGCCGTTTGGCATTTTAAGAGCTTTTTTTAAAGTTGAAAAAAGTAAAGATGAAGTTAAAAATAGTTAAAATCTGACATTTCATTATTTTATTATATACTCTTGTTTGATAATAAATCTGTGACATCATTTAGAAAATAACATTTTAAATCTTACAAGCATTTTACAATTGCAACTCATCATCCGTATTTAAAGAAAACAGCAGCATAAGCCCATCAGAAGACTAATGCAATTTTAATGCACCTCTGCATACGTTCTGTTATTCTGGTTTACAAACCCATATTTGGTGCAGAAGGAAAGAAGAAGGGCTTTTTTATGGGTTAGGCTTTGAAGCAGTAAATAAGCGACACGGAGAGTCAAGTCAACAGGTGAGCAGAATTAGACAATGATAGCAATCCCACTTACTTGCCCTCTATAAGAGCTTGCTACCTAGTTAAAGTGCCAGCATAGTGTCTACCATTTTAAATATCACAATGTTCACACAGATAATACACAGAAATAGGCAGGGTTGCATTTACTACACCCCATTTTTAATAAAAAGCTTTTCTCATAACAGGTATTTCCAACTCTTTTGCATAGTCTTGTATTAGAATCCTCATAATCTTTGCATTTACATGCAACCATATATAATGACTATACTAGAATTGCACAGCAACACTTAAAAATCTACATAATTTAGAAACTGAAACTGTAGTTATCTAAAAGAATTTTTTTGCAGTGTCTCACTCTTGCTGCCTAGTACTTTGGTTAGAATTCAAATACTATAGAAGTAATGCTTCAAAGAAAACTGATCAAGTGCCATTTACAAAGGTACAAAATATACAGCAAAGTTAACCTCTCATTAAATAAAATATACAGATTAGCTGATGTTCCAAATCATTAGCTAACACCTTATTTTAAGGGATAAACTTCCAGGGAGCTTTTCCTCCCCAGTATAGGAGAGTTACACAAAAGTTTCTTTCCCTGTATGCTTATGTAATGAGTCACGGTCGTTTTAATTGCTGATAATAAAGGACTGAGTGGATCATTCTGCGCAGTGAGGGCCAAAAACGATCCCTGGTGGAACTGCAGTAAGGACAGTGGGAAACCCTAGAGATCTGTTTCACCTAAGGCCTCACAGCCTATTTAAATATTTAATGCAATAATGCCAAAACATTATCACTGTGGTGGCTGTTAAACCTCCATGAGAATTCTCCTGTAATCTAGCAATTGACATACCATTAAAATAAAGTGTTGCCAACGTGCTCCGCGTTTGCTCTGTTGTTAACATGGTGAGCTATGAAAACTGCCTATTTATTCTTCAACTGATCTCCCTGAAAATAAATGAGTTTTAGAGAAAAGTAGCATGTTCCCACTTAAACCAGCCATGGTAATTTAACAGTTTGGAATGAATGGTAAGTGCTTGTATGTTAGGTTAGCAAAGAGGTGTAACACCAGCTACAGTGACAGCAGCGTTGCCTCCCTGACGTTCACTCTTGGTCCAGGCGTATGTTGACCATGGCGAAGCATCGGCCTAGGCTGTGGAAGAAGGGCTCGATGAAAACATCTGTCAGGCTCTTCCATACCGTTTGCACTGAAGGCAAGACCATGAGACAGGTTTTCACGAAAGGCAGCACGATCCTGTAAAAGAGAAGATGGAAGATTTGAAGATTGCTGCTGATATAGCACGGGGAAATCAGGATAGCCAAACACAAGTGTGAGATCTTATGGGAAAGGAAGTAATCTTATAACTCTAAATCTCTAAACAAGTTGATTTTACATTCTCACATACATTCTCCATCAATTTTGTTCACTCACAGCCTCACACCTGCACATGCAGAAGTTCCATGGTGCATGTAGTCCTCTGGCCAGGATCACCTGTGTGCAACACAGGGGACAGGAGATGCCAGCTTTCTTTTCATCATCTCTCTGCTGCTTAACTGACATCACTGAGTCAATTTTTGGATAGGCCTCTTCCATTAGTGAACTTTTGCTGTTTTCCCCCTGCTGCTGGAAGGGCTGGTGCACAGGATATGCTGCAACCTTGATGCCACCCAACTACGTCTGAAGAGCAATGTCTTCCCCTAAGGACTCATTTGCACTGTGGGCATATCCGAGTGAGGGTCTTCAGGGCTTAGCAGAAACACCACGTTCCCCAGTTTGACTGACTGGGAGTAGTGCTCCTTATGGTCTGTTCTTGCTCTTTGGGGGTCTTTTTTCCATGCCTGGCTCACACACACAGAGATGCACCTGCACACACACACATCGCCATTCCTCTCTCATTCCTGCCAACCTAACCTTGACCTTACAAGTTGCCACAGTAAAGCAGAAACAGTAAAGTAATATTAGGTTACATTTGATTACTGTAGCACAGACACACACCAAACCTCAGAAAAATGCAATCTTGCTGATACTGTAAAGTTTTTAGTTTGTGAGTGAGAAACTAATGCAGAATGAGGTCCAGTCTCCTAGTCAGGGGAGAGACCTTTTTATTGACTCAGGGTGCATACTTGAAAGTATTGTGCCTTCTGAGTATCTCCTGAGTGCTTTAACCATCTGGGGATGCTCTCCTTATGTCCCAATTCCAAAGTGATGTCATTAGTGGTGGCTTAAGCCAAGCACACTGACAACAGAGGCAAGCCAGAAGTGCACATATGGGCAGCTCACGAGGGCCAGTGGATACTTGATAACTGACCATACTGTTTTTTCTCCTGTCTTAATCACTGGCCAAAACCCCATGTCATTTCACTAAGCTGGGTGTTCTTATTTGGGTGCAGACAAATTAAATGTATAAATTATTTATGTAATACTGAAGTAGTAGTAGAGCAAGGTTTTAAAAAAAATCTCTGCACCATACGTAACACATTTATTTCCTAAATAAGGTAGAAGAAGCTATAGGTTCTCTTACTAAAGATAATAAACTCTGTTCTAGTTTGCTGTTCCATTCAAAACTTAAAATCTCAGTCTTGTGTCCATATAATTCCATTGCAGAACTCTCATTTATTTTGATTGTAACAACAGGAAATATTTAATTTAATATTTCATTATAAGTCTGAAAAATATGTAAGTATTGCGTCTTTATAATGAGTACTACTCAGAATAACAAAGTAGAAAAAAAAATGTACATTTAAAAAAATTTGGAGCTTAGAAATGAAAAGAGTTAAAATGAATTATTTTCAGTGTTTGTCTAACCAGATTCTCAGCTTTTAGCATACAATGCAAGCCATATACTACTATGTCTATACTGCAGTCTAAGCTAACCCAAATGGATTTAAATAAGAATAGTTTTTCTAAAACCTTCTCTTCTTTTGTCTCTGCTGAAACAGCTAGCAATATACGCACCATATAGAACTGTGAGCGTTACTGGAATAATGTGCATCTAGTTTTAAACTGAATTCAGTAAACTATGTGTTTTATAACCACCTAAAGTATCACAGCATATAAAATAGATAATTTCTAAAGAATAAAATTAGGGCTTCACAGTTTAGAATACAGTTGATAAACATCAGTAATGCGAAGATGAAAAAAAAATGGGTATTTCTCCAAGCAACACAGGGAAAACGCCAGAAATGGCTACTCAGCTTGTGTTGATGTCACCCCTTTTCCATTTCAGTCAGCTTAGAAAGGCTGTGTCACTGCTCCTTTGCAACCATCTAAAATTAATTTGGCCTGCTTGTTGTTTTCTTTTTTTAAATCTAACTGAATTGCAGAGAAGCAGAAAAGGTGACATTTCTTTTGGACCCTCTGTTGGGCAGGATCACAAAATACAAACTAAACAAATACCACACTGTGGAGAATTTCCACAGAAAGATGCAGTGAATCACCAGGATGCCATCAGGGAAGACTGGAAAAGCAGTGATCGTACTCCTTGCAACTGCTGCAGAGGCCTTTCACACAGCACCAGAACTCAACCTCTTTTGGTAATCTTAAATACAACAAATACAAAAATATTTTGCTAATGTTTTGTCATCTTCTAGCACTTGCTATCCAACTTTATGATAAATGCATGTGAAAACCCAAGTAGGTTAACTCTGGAGGAGGAGATGTGAAACATGCTAGCAAACAATGCTAATTAATGTAAATAACTTTTAATTTTAAGTAAAAGTCAGTCTACTTAGACAAGAATTACTCAAACACCTTTCCTCAGAAAATAAAATCCTCTACGTCCAGGAGAGCAGTAAAAAGTATTTTCTAACTTTAAAAAATGTGAGTGTGTCTATAGATGTACCTACATGCATGTAAGTGCACATCCTGTTCTGCATAGGATATGTTATCCCACCACACTGCACTTCCAAATCATCAGAGGGGGTGATGTGCCTTCCGTGGAGTGACCAGGCACACTTGAAAAATAAATAACCAAGTCCCATTAGAAACTATGTATTTGTTTTGTCACCTGTCAAATAAACATTAACATATACATCCTTTACTCCCAGTGCTGTGGGTTTACCCCACTCTGCACTTCTGTTCACAGAGACAGCAAATGTTTGCTTGAGGAATGTCCAACAGCGGAAGTAAAGTTGGCATATCCCAAGGACATCAACATTTACTGCGATATTGGTACTACTAGTGTTACCACATGGTACAACACTGGGAAGAAAAAGTTTTGTTGAATTTGGCATCTAAGGTGTATCTTAGCCAAGGTATTTCAACTACCTATATGACCTCTCATTGAATCTTGCTATGTATATATATCATAAAATACACATCCTTTCATTAAGTAGAAGGAATCACTTCTTTTGGAAACTGTTGGACTGAAAAGAGCAAATTACTCCATTTTTTCCATCCTACCCTATTTTCTCTTTTTTCTGTTCAAGGCATGACACCTACAAAATGATACCCATCAACACTTCACACTTTTGCTTACATTAATTTTTATCTGCTAATCCTTGAGGGAACATTGTCAAGAACCAAACAGCTCTTGGAAATGGAAGAGCACAATTTAATTTCCACTGATAAGGGCATTTTTAGTTCACAGCTGGTCAACTTTTCACAGAGTTGGGCAATATGTTTGGAGTAGTCATTCAATATCCAGATTCTTGCTTCAAACTGAAGAATCACATCTTCTCCTGTAACATTTTTCAAAATGGAACTTCAGATATGTCTTAATGCTATTTTTCAAATGCTACATCAAATGTCATTCAGTGGTTAAATTACCTAATTCCATGTATACACATGTACATGGGTTTTGAACTAGAAGTCTTGCATGGCTCTACAACACAAGCAAGCACTGTGAACAGTTGCAGAGCTTCTTGTTGCAACCCACTAACCCACTTTATGAGTGAGACAAGAGATAACCACCAAAGCCTTCCAGGACCCATATGTAGTATATGAAGTGCATTAAAACCAATTATCTATCCCAGGATCTGGGTAGATGAGAAAAGATAAAACTGAAAAGGAACCAAGACAACATGCGCCTACTTCCTCTTCAGAAGCCAAGGGACATACACTAGACATGAATGAAGAGGCACCAAGACAACACCAGATCATAAAATGGGTCTTCATGGCATAGCTGTACTGTAATTTCTTTTGATTTTAGACAGCCAGTAGGGAGATGGCTTTGGGGTTGAGTACGATAGCAATGTTATGTAAATGGAGCGGTGGAGAAAGAGCTAAGAGGTGACACATGTCCACATTAATTTCTCTGCACATAAGTCCCTGGCTACATTTTAGCACTGTGAATGGCAGCTCAAGCTGAGGAGAGCTTAAAGCTGGCTGAGTCTTTGTGCTTTAGGGCCCATCTCAGACCCAAGACTCAAGTTATGGATCCTCAAATGAACCACTGATTCTTAGCATAAATATGCCACATACCAGAACACTATTCAGACAAGGCTACAACAAAGTCTATATGAGATTCAAGTATTAATTTCCAAGAGGTGGCATACATGTGGCTTGGAACAAGGATCAGTCCCTCATCTGTAATAAAGATTGTGGTTTTTCATGTGCTGCCTGGAAAACCAGCAGTGTTCTGCTCATGTTAAAAAATCAATAACCTTAACAGCCTTGATCTGAGGACTTGTTTAAAAGCTTGCTCAGATATTCACAGAAAGATGTTAAAACTCAGTTTTGACAGCTTCTGCATTGTGTGGTGAGAATGACAGCCAGCAGTAAAGAAGAATAAATGTGAAGAAGTAGCCTTGCTATAACTTGTATACAGGTCACCAACCTGCTAACTGGCACAGTTTCAGCTCATCAATATCCTTTACCCGGTAGTGTACAACTGGACTCTAGCTCAAGCAGCCAGTTTAAGAACAGAACCAGAATACATTCCTTCTTCACAGGCAAAAATGAAAATTAAAGCATATTATACTTCTTACTCAGCTTTCTTTTTGTTTTCTGTGAAGTCTCACATGTTTTCTTGCTCCTTTAGCAACCTTTTTGCTGGTGAAAGACCTACGTACCTACTATCAAGTACGAGAGGTGGAACTCATGAAGTGCCCTTGATGCACAAGGAATGCTGAGCGGGACTTTTGTGGGCTCTTAGCATGTTGACAAAACTGAAACAACGTGTGTGACAATCAACAGAGCTTTGTGCCTGAGCACTTCCATAAGGTGTTGAAACGCTTTCCAATTTAGCCTCAGGAAAGGCTCCCCTACCACAGATCAGTATCATCTTCTCACTTGTTTGGATGATGGCAGAGAAGCTCTGATAAGCCCTCCTGCAGGCAGACACGTGGGAGGGTGTGCCCAGGGTTTTCCCATACCATTTCAACAGCTGAAGACAGAGTTATAATGGAATTCTCTTCCTCTCACCCACAAAACTAGGAGTTACTATTTTTTTCAGACCCAGTGGGGCTACGTGGGAGCCAGCACCGTATGTTTAGGGTCCTTATGCCTCCACTGACTAATGCCTCTGCTATTTGTTCCTCCTATGCTACCCTCTCAAATACAGAAACACTCAACTCCTTACTCCCATGAAATCTGGAACATGGAGAGCTGTAGAGAAGCCAACTCAGTCTCAGTGTGTCCCACCTTTGTATTGGAACAAATCCAGCTTGTGGCTGTGGGAAGATGAGACAGTGCTGGCTTTGGATAGTAGCACTGGATGGAGTCCAAGGGGGTGCAGATAGCACTACCAAGTTACATGATTCTTTCACACCCATCCCAGGTGCAAGGAAGATCAAAACGAATGATCACTTCTGTACTGACAACGAACACAAGGAAGGAAAATTAGTTTCTGGGAAAGCATGAGTGTTCACAGAAAGTCAAGGGAAACTTTTCAAAATCAAGTGCCACATTCAGGCAATCCTATTTCAGATATACTGAGAACCCACAGTTCTTGAGAGAGTCACTAGGGACTACTTGCATAAATAGAAACTGACCTCTGAGTCCTGGTTCAGTGAAACTCATGCCTACGTACCCAGGCTATGAAATCCAGAGACAGGATCATTCTGAAGTACAATTAGAGTCTTAATACATTGGGCATCAACAAATTCTTCCACAGATATTCCACTATTGAAAATCCATATGCCCACCAAACCCTTTTGCAGTCATGTGGTATAATATAGCACAGTGACAGCCGACAGACCTAAAAGTCTGGGGATGCTATACAATGTTCATCATAATTTGGGGAGCAGCAGGTGGGAAGGTCTAAACTACATTGCAACTCCTTTAGCTATTACGCAAACTTCATGCTCCAAAATTCAAGTTAATCAACTTTTGAAGTGGTGCATGACAATGTCATCAAACGCAACTTCCATTCCACTTTTGAAAACTGAAATCTGCATCCAAAAGCTTGCAACTACAGGTTTGGCCAACCAATGTATTCCCATTGCTTTGAGTTTATTTCTCAGTTTCTGGATTGTATTTCGTTTTCCTTAACAACTTTGTGATTCCAGCGTTACCCAAGTCAAATGAGATGCCCCAAACCCATGTATATGGAAAATCCTGGTTTGCCATAATGACGTTGATAATCTGCATTCACCCCTTCCTCTGGAGCCTGCTGGATTCTCAGTTCTTTCCTCAACCTCGTTCTTTTCCCTGCCTTTCTTCCTTCTCCACAATCATCTGCCTTTCTGGTCTCAAGGTACTCTTCCCTGATATTTTGCCAGTATATTCTGTTTAAAGTGCACCAGATTTGCTGTGACCTGGGGGGCTACTGTATTTGCCTGGAAACCTGGGCCATGGCCAGAAGCAGTTTTCCTGAGCTCAGCAGGGGTTCTTTGCTTAGGTGGAAGTGCTCTGGGGCACTGCACCTAGAGACGGCCATGTACCAGGTGCAAGGTGGTCACAGCAGATTTTGTGGCAGTAGCAAAGAAAGAGTGAGCTGGGCCCTCAAAAGCTTTCTTCAGTCTGTGAGGAAAAAAAATATGAAAGTGGTAACCGTACTGAAGAAGGCGTCAGGTATAAGTAATATTTCTGCCCAGGTCTTTAATATCAAAGATACATGTTTTAACAACTTAACAAGCAGTTTAAAATCAACAAACTAACCAATTGTCACTCCAGAAGCCAGCTGAGGCTGGAATGCATTGTGGTAGGTGCCCCACAAATGGTAAAATGGGTTCCCTGCCCCAAGGAACTTACACAGACACGACAGACTGCTGGTGAAAGCAAGGCAGGGAACAGAATCACAGAGAAAGCACTGTTTTCATTTCTCTCCCTTTAGACATAAAGCAATAACACCAAGTCTATCTGACTACGGGTTGTAAAGGCACTGACCAAGGGCTCAGGCAGGAACGGAGGGTTGTGCTGAGCTGCCGGCACCCACGCACCCAGGACTCACCAGATGTGGAGGCAGCTGAGCACGGCGAAGACGATCCCCACCACCAGGGCCAGCGGGATGGCGAGGACCAGCGTCAGGAGCTTGTAGATGGCGTACTTGCTGAGCTCGAAGAGAGCGTGGCTGCAGATCCACACCTTGTCGAAGGAGTGGGTGAGCTCGGGCTCCGCGATCACATCCTCGAACCCCAGCTGCAACCAGAACCGAGCGAGCCCGGCCGTTACGCGGGGCTGGGACGAGGGGTACCCCCCCTCTCCGGGTACC